TGCCTCCTGAGTAGCTGGGATTACAGGCACGCGCCACCATGCCCAGCTAATTTTTTGTAGTTTTAGTAGAGACGGGGTTTCACCATGTTGACCAGGATGGTCTCGATCCCTTGACCTCGTGATTCACCGCCTCGTCCTCCCAAAGTACTGTGATTACAGGCGTGAGCCACGGCGCCCGGCTCTTTTGAGTTTCTAATTAGCCTCTCCAAAGAAGGCAATCAGATATACATTTATCTCAGTAAGCAGTGGGGTAATTTTCAATAGAATGGGAGGTAGATTTCCTCTAAGCAGTTCCCAGCTTGACTTTTCCCTTTAGCTTAGTGATTTTGGGGCCCCAAGATTTATTTTACATTCACAGGAGCAATGGGGATACAAACAAATGGTCAATATCTGGTGCTATGTGACTTTTGGTTACAAGGAAGTAGGCCAAAGTGCTGCTGGATTAATGGTTAATTATAACTATATTTCTGTCCAGAATTCTTGTTAACACTGTGAAGCGACTTTAATGACATCCTCCAAGATCCTCGTTTTCAGCTCAAGAGGATGATCTATTTCCTGAAAACATACTTTCAAACATTTTTTTTGTTCATACTGCTAAAGCATGTTTTTAAAAGGTAAAGCTACAACCCTTGTGCAAATATAAAGTTGAACATGACAAAATGATTAATTTATTAATAAATCAGGAAATCAGTAGATGTTATTACCAGTTAAAGAAAATGCTGAGACAAGTAAGCACACCATAAGGAATTCTGAAACAAATTTGTTGAAACCCTTTCCTGTTTCCCCTGAGAATATTTGCTGGGGGTGCTTGTGGCTGCAATGTTTACTCCGAGATAACTCTGCCACAAAATATCTTGATTTTATTATTATTACTACTATTATTATTTTTTGAAACACAGTTTAACACCATTGCCCATTTTCAAGTGATTCTTGTGCCTCAGCCTCCCAAGTAGCTGGGGTAACAGGTGTGCACCACTGTGCCTGGCTAATTTTTGTATTATTAGTAGAGACAGGGTTTCACCATGTTGGTCCGAGTCATCTGGAACTCCTGACCTCAAGTGATCTGCCTGCCATGGCCCCTCAAAGTGCTGGGATTACAGGCATGAGCCTCCATGTCCGGCCCATTATAATTTTCGTGTCACTCTAGTATACCAACTTTGGAAACAAGACATCATTTTGTTATAGCATTCTGTTTTTAGTAGTGGTACTTCCATTTACAAAATATAGTAATTCTTGATTGCTGAAAATGTCAAATCTTAGAAAACATAACATTCCTATGCATGATTTTAACTTCGTTCTGAAACAGTTGTTGCCAAAGATTCGTTTGATGAATCAGGTTTTTCCAAATTAGTTGATTCTGATGATTCAGACAATTCTAATGTTAGTTCTGTTTAGAAATAACTCCAAGAACACTTTTTTTTGAGACGGAGTTTTTGCTCTGTTGCCAGGCTGGAGTGCAATGGCTCAATTTTGGTTCACTGCAACCTCTGCCTCCTGGGTTCAAACGATCCTCCTACCTCAGACTCCCGAGTACCTGGGATTACAGGTGCACACCACAATGCCCAGCTAATTTTTGTATTTTTAGTATAGACAGGATTTCACCATGTTGGCCAGGCTGATCTCAATCTTCTGACCTCAGGTGATCCACCCACCTTGGCTTCCCAAACTGCTGGCATTGCAGGTATGAGCCACTGTGCCTAGCCTAAGAACAGTTTTTGTATTTTATTTTCACATTGAAAATCAGTCAGATTAGGCCGGGCGCGGTGCACGCCAGTAATCCCAGCACTTCGGGAAGCCAAGGTGGGCATATCACAAGGTCAAGGTCAAGAGATCGAGACCATCCTAGCCAACATGGTGAAACCCTGTCTCTACTAAAAATACAAAAAATTAGCTAGGCATGGTGGCATGCGCCTGTAGTCCCAGCTACTCAGGAGGCTGAGGCAGGAGAATTGCTTGAACATGGGAGGCAGAGGTTGCAGTGAGCCAAGATTAAGCCACTGCACTCCAGCCTGGCGATAGAGCAAGGCTCAGTCTCAAAAAAAAAAAAAAAAAGAAAGAAAGAAAGAAAGAAAGAAAATCAGTTAGATTTGCTTCAGGCTCAAAGAGTGTATTTATGTCAGGTTAAATGAGTGTTATCAGTACTTTGTTTTTTCCTAAATGGGAAAAGGGTTAAAAGATGAACAACTTCAAGACCATAATCACTTGCTCCTCCATTGTACACAATTTACATTTCTATGGACAAGAATCATTTGCATTATTATCAGTTTTCCACAACTTATAGGTGTTGTAAAATGGCTTAAAGGCAGTTTACATGACAGGACACCTCATAATTCACCCATTTCAAAGTCTTTAATAATTTTTCTTGACATTACTAATTCCTCTACCTAGATTGTAAATCACTAAAATTCTTTTCATCAAATCAGTTCTTTTTTTTTTTTTTAGAAGGTGTTTTACTCTGCCGCCCAGGCTGGAGTGCAGTGGCCTTGATCTCAGCTCAATGCAACCTCCACCTCCTGGGTTCAAGTGATTCTTGCGCCTCAGCCTCCCAAGTAGCTGGGATTACAGGCACGCACCAGCATGCCTGGCTAATTTTTGTATTTTTAGTAGAGATGGGGGTTTCCTCATGTTGCCCAGGCTGATCTTGAACTCCTGACCTCAAGTGATCTGCCTGCCTTGGCCTCCCAAAGTGCTGGGATTAGAGGTGTGAGCACCACACCTGGCCAAATCAGTTCTTATTAAATACTACCATGTGCCAAGCACTCTGCTAAGTGCTGGGGGGCTCAATGGTGAGGAAAGCTAATATCATTCCAACTGTCATCATCTTTTAGTTTAGTTTTTTTCTTTTTATACTTACTGAAATCACCTTTCCAAAAGTTATAACAGTGAGAAAATCACGACAGTGAAGGCGATCTAATCTAGCCAACCCCTCTCTTGCCTTTAGCTTTCAAGCTGCCAAGCTAGCTTTGGAAGACATTTAGTTTATAGTTTCAATGATAATGAAACTTTCCCCAAACTCAGCTGCCTTTGTAAAGCAATGAGAGACCACCAGGCTAGGGGGAGGAAAGGAGCCTGAATTCTGTTAAGCTGTGGACAACATCACTATTGTAGAACCTATTGGCCTTTTGAGATATCTTTTCAGGTTTTGTTTTGTTTTGTTTTTGAGATAGAGTCTCCCTTTGTTGCCCAGGTTAGAGTGCAATGATGTGGTCTCGGCTCACTGCAACCACCACCTCCTGGGTTTAAGTGATTCCCCTGCCTCAGCCTCCTGATAGCTGGGATTACAGGTGCCTGCCACCATACCCAGTTAATTTTTTTTTTTTTTTTTTTTGAGACAGAGTCTTGCTCTGTCACCCAGGCTGGAGTGCAGTGGCACGATCTTGGCTCACTGTAACCTATGTACTCCCGGGTTCAAGCGATTATCCTGCCTTAGTTTCCCAAGTAGTCCCAACTACTCAGGCATGCGTCACCATGCCCAGCTAATTTTTGTATTTTTAGTAGAGACAGCGTTTTACCATTTTGGCCAGGATGGTGTCTATATCTTGACCTTGTGATCTGCCCACCTCGGGCTCCCAAAGTGCTGGGATTACAGGCATGAGCCACCATACCCAGCTGCAGCTGATTTTTATATTTTTAGTAGAGGTGGGGTTTCACCAGGTTGGTCAGGCTGGTATTGAACTCCAGACCTTGTGATCTGCCTGCCTTGGCCTCCCAAAGTGCTGGGATGACAGGTGTGAGACACCACGCTTGGCCTCTTTTGAGGTTTTTTGCATGTCTGACACCCATGGCTCTACCTGGACCCACTCAGAAGCTACTTAGTGCAAGAGGACAGCTTCAACTCCTTATGATTTCATCTCTGCCCCAACCAATCTGCAATATAACCACTCCCATCCCTTCCCTCTAGCTAACTTTGGAAAACCCTATGAGCCTTTGATGAGATTGATTTGAGTAATAACTCTGTCTCCCATGTGGTGTGGCTGGCCCCACATCAATTAAACTCTTTTTTTTTTTTTTTCAAGACAGGATCTCCTACTCTCTGTCACCAGACTGGAGTACAGTGGTGCAATCTTGGCTCACTGCAGTCTCTGCCCCTGGGCTCAAGCTGTTCTCCCACCTCAGCCTCCTGAGTAGTTGGGGCTACAGATGTATGCCACCATGCCCAGCTTTTTTTTTTTTTTTTTTTTTTGATATTTTAGTAGAGATGGTGTTTCACTATGTTGCCCAGACTGGTCTTGAACTGCTGAGCTCAAATTATCTGCCCACCTCAGCCTCCTGAGTAGTTGGGGCTACAGGTGTATGCCACCATGCCCAGCTATTTTTTTTTTTTTTATTTTAGTAGAGATGGTGTTTCACCATGTTGCCCAGACTGGTCTTGAACTGCTGAGCTCAAATTATCTGCCCACCTCAGCCTCCAAAAGTGCTGGGATTACAGGCATGAGTCACCATGACTTGCCAAAGTCTTTCTTTACTATAATGGCATAGTCTTTTTTGTGCAGCAGGCAGGAAGAACCCATCAGGTGGTTACAATACCAGTTTATTATAAAGGATATTACAAAGGATATAGAAGTGATGCATAGGGCAAGGTTTGGGGACGGGGCATGAAGCTTTTATGCCCTCTCCTGAAGCATCACCCTCCAGAAACCTCCACATGCTCAGTTCTTCAAAAGCTCTCCAAACCTCCAAAAGGGAGGCTTCATTACATAGGCATGACTGATTTAAGCTTTGGTCATTGGTGACCAAATTAGCCTTCAGCCCCTCTCCCTTCCCTGAATGTTAGGGAGTGGGGCCGAAAGTCCCAACCCTCTAAACCTACCTTGGCCTTTCTGGTGACCAGCTCTCATCCTAAAGTTAAAGTTACCTAGGGGCTGCCAGCCATCAGTCAACTCATTAGCATACAGCAGATATCACTTTGGAGATTCTAAGGATTTTAGGAGTCATATGACAGGAAACTGGGTCAAAGACCAAATATATATTTCACAGTACTACAGTCCACTCACAAGACTCTTACATCAAAAGGATATACAACTCAAAAGATACTGCTCTATTACTAGAAACCCATTTAATTATTAATAACTAGTCTAGTTCATTATATTTGTGAATGTCTGCCATAGTGAGGCCACTCAGGTCTGCAAACTTCCATTCCGTCTTGTCAGGTTCCTGAGATGCTCCAAGCCTCTTTCAAGATGTTAATGTAATATTATCCCTCAATGTATAACCCATTTATTCACTCCTTTAACCATCGGTGGGGGGTGTCCAGGTTCTTGGCATCTTGAACAAAGAATTGGAAAAATTGCACAAACAAAGCAAGGAAGGAATGAAGGGTTTTATTGAAAATGAAAGTACATTTCATAGTGTGGGAGCAGGCCTGAGCATAGAGGCTCGAAGGCCCTATTACAGAGTTTTTGTGAGTTTAAATACCCCCTAGAGGATTCCATTGGTTCCTTGGAGTACGCCCCACGTAAATGGAGAAGATGAAGTAAAGTTACAAAGTCATTTTCGGCCTACGCCCTATGGAGAGGATATTTCCTGTTACAGCTGAAGTGCGAATTGGCCTTATGTTCCTGCCTCCAGACCCTGCCTCACTATTCCTTCTTCTCTCCACTAATTTCCAAACTTTTCCACCTTTGCAAGGGACTTTAGAATCGGCCACTGCACTGGTCTAGATTGCAGGCAAGTCTAGTAAGTACCTCCCCTCAGTCCATCCTCATTTGGTAGGATAAGAACATAGATGAAGAACTAGTGAACCATCTTTACCAAAAGGCAATATAGCTGCATTCACTCTTAGTCCCTGTAATAAAAAATAAAAGTCTAAGGCCTTCCAGCCATCTGAATGGATCCCTCCTCTCTGCCAAGGGCATTCCAAAGTTATCCTGGAAGACTAGTTTCAGGCCATGATGGGAAGGCAGAGATGCCTTGTTATACTTTCCTTCTCCACCTCCTTTTTGGAATTACTGATAGAACAGACTCTTTAAGTATTTTTTTTTGAGATGAAATTTTGTTCTTGTTGCCCAGGCTGAAGTGCAATGGCACGATCTCAGCTCACTGCAACTTCTGCCTCCCAGCTTCAAGCAATTCTCTTGTCTCAGCCTCCTGAGTGGCTGGGATTATAGGCACCAGCCACCATGCCCAGGTAATTTTTTATGTTTTTAGTAGAGATGGGGTTTCACCATGTTGGCCAGGCTGGTCTTGAACTCCTGACCTCACGTGATCCACCTGCCTCAGCCTCCCAAAATGCTGGCATTGCAGGTGTGAGCCACTGTGCCCAGCCAACTCTTTAAGTCTTCTAAGAAACATTTACAATGTTCTCTCTTTGAAACCTGCTACCTGGAGGCACTATCTGCATGATAAAACCTTGGCTCCAACAACCTTTTAACGTAACCCAGACATTCCTTTCTATTGATTCTGGGTCCTTAGATAATAACTCTTTCAACCAATTGCCAATCCAAAAAATATTTGAATATGCCTGTAAGTTGGAAGCCCCACTTCTAGTTCTTCCACCTGAGGACTAAGCTCTGATTTTTTTTTTTTTTATCTTGCCCAAATTCCTACCTAAGGGGTCTAGGGAGTCATGCCCTAGAAACCATAAATTCTCATCAGATAGGTTTTATTTGACCCTATGTATCATGACTTACTTTTCAACCTGACTCTGGCATAACTTTATGAAACACGAAAACAAATATTTAACTCAAAAATATATTTCCTCGCTATGCCTTGAAATTGCCCTGCAAAGTCTCTCATGGGAAAAATCTACATTCTATAGAGAATCTCCTTTCCCCTTTGTTTTCCTTCCTCCCTTTCCACAGCCAGGAGATAATCAATTAAGAGCCAGGCATCCTTTTAGGTTTGACACTAAACATTTTACAACGTGCTCTCTCTCTCTCTCTCTCTCTCTGAAGGCTACTATCTGAGAGATTGCTCTGCAAAGTAAAACTTGGTTTCCACAGTCCTTTATCTTAACCTGAATATTCCTTTCCATTGATCCCAGGTCTTCAGATAAATTCAACCAATTGTCAACCAGAAAATATTCAAATTTACCTATAGCCTGGAAGCCCCCTGCTTTGATGTATTTCTTCTTTTTTTTTTTTTTTTTTTTGAGATGGAGTTTCGCACTGTTGCCCAGGCTGTAGTGCAGTGGCACAATATTGGCTCACTGCAATCTCTGCCTCCTGGGTTCAAACAATTCTCCTGTCTCAGCCTCCTGAATAGCTAGAACTACAGGTGTGCGCCATCACGCCCAGCTAATTTTTCTGTATTTTTAGTAGAGACGGGGTTTCACCATGTTGGCCAGGATGGTCTCGATCTCCTGACCTCATGATTCACCTGCCTTGGCCTCCCAAAGTGCTGGGATTACAGGCATGAGCCACTGTGCCTGGCCAAATGTATTTCTTAAATGTATTTGATTGATGTCTCCTCATGCCTCCCTAAAAATATAGAAAACCAAGCTGTACCCCGACCACCTTGGGCACATGTTCTCAGGATCTCCTGAGGGCTGTGTTACAGGCCACTGGTCACTCATATTTGCCTCTGAATAAATCTCTTCAAATATTTTACAGAGTTTGACTCTATTCATTGACACCCCAATTTTGCCAGATGGGGTAAAGGTACAACCCTCCTCGATGAGGTCCCTAGGAATCCTGGCATAAGGTTTAAACACACAGTGAGAGTTTCTTGCTTATAAATTACTCTTGCTTCCAGCATTTGTAGTTTCATCCTGGATCCTAGGACCTCTGCATCGGGTAGCAGAGGAAAAAGTTTAGGTGATGTGGGGAAGAAAGAAAAGAAACTACAATCATTATAGCAGTACGCCCCTCCCTTGGTAAGAGCTGTATATCATCCCAGCATTGTCCCCACCCCCTCTTCCTCAGATCAACCAGAACCACAGGAGAATCCGGTGAATCACCAGAATCCAGTGAGGACCTTGCGTCCCTCTCATGTCGATTGTAAGCGCACATCAGGAAGGCGTGTAAGCCAGCCTTTCATGCACTTACCGCCCTCTGGTTTAGACAACCAATGTTTCAATTGCCAGCTTCCCTCCTCTGTCAAACTATTACTCTGAGGAGGAGATTTCCCTGCTTACTGTTAGACATTATGGTCTGTACAGTGTGTTCCTTGGTCTGAGGAAATTGTGGTCAGCCATCCAAATCCATGCAATAGTTCCTGCTCTGTTGTATTTTTTTTTAAATAGCACTCTGAGAATTTGTAATTTCTACTGGGTAAGAAAGCCAGATCCAGAGTCAATGTCTATTCCTGTCAAGACCCATTTGTAGCCCCCAGTGCTTCCAGAATCAGTCTCACTTCCCAACTATGTTCAGGGCCTGCCCCTCAGGGAATCTGCCCATAGCCACTGGCAGTCTCTATATCTTGTGCTGACAGACACAACAATTTTTACTGGAATTTTGTGCCTGAGACAGTGCAAAAAGAACATGTTTAGATTTAGCTTATCTCTGCATTGTTGCAGTATCTCCATATCTACCCATTTCATGGACCCAGGTGGCTGCTTTGTAACAGTACTGACTCCACGTTAGAGAAAAGCTTGTTTGCTAGAATAGAATTATTGCTTTGCTTGAGTTTGTAGATTGTTTACTAAAAACAGCCTCAGGAAAACAGGATCTTCAAGAAAGGTAAAAGAAAATACTCTGGGAATAGGCTGACCGGCTGATACGAATAGGCTAATGGCGCCTGCAGAAGGTCATGAAACAGTGACCAAGAAAGCAGTGATTCAGCCTAAGCAACAGGATGAGACCTTATCTCTACTAAAACTCAATAAAATTATCTGGGTGTGGTGGCACGTGCCTTTACTCCCAGCTACTTGCGAAGCTGAGGCGGGAGGATCACTTGAGCCTGGAAGATTGAGGCTACAGTGAGTTATGATGACACCACTGCACTCCAGCCTGGGCGACAGAGCAGAATCCTGTCTCGAAGAAAGAGAGAGTAATAATTAACTACTGGCCTGAAATTGTGCATATTTCACAAGAATGTTTTGATCATAATTTCTCTAATTTCCCTTAAAAGCCCCAGGTCTGGAAGCCCAACTTGGAAAGATACTCTGAATGCTAGTTCACTGCCTTCCCTAGGTTGCTGGCTTTTTGAATAAAGCTAACTTTCCTTTCACCAAAGCTTGTTGTTATGTTTTTGGCTCTCAAGCAATGAGTGGCCAGACCTGAGTTTAGTTACAACCTCAAGGCAACACATGGAGCTATTTGTTTGATGATTCCCATCACCTGCCAAATCTGGAAGGGTATCTTTTGATGGACACTGACATGTCCTACTTTAATGAATGCCTCTAATGTTGATAGGGCTGTGCCCCATATGGGCATCCCTTTAATTGGATTCCATTGCCCTCCTGCCTGACTGTGTGGCCAGGTCATTGGCCACTGCCCATGGGTCAGTAAAAACCCAAACATAAGGGCTTTTTAGCACTGCTCAATTCTTCCACCACTGCTAGGAAAATAGCATGCAATTCTGCCCACCAAGCTGATTTGTTTTTACTTTTTTTGATCAGGGTAATATCCTTCCAAATAGGATGATGCCATTCACCTTTAAACTGCCATTCACAGGGTAAACAACTTTTTGAAAGCTGTTCATAGGGCACTATCTACGTGATGATAGAATCTAGCAGCTCTTCACACAGTTCCAGACTTAATCCTAGGGGGAGAAGATTTCTCTGTTCATCTCTTCCTTGTATTCCTCAGGTGGTTGGTCCTGTGTAAACCATTTCCATTTTATCATGGAACTCTGATGGGCATTGCTGTCCCCATTAGAGTGTCTCTCTGACACTGACCAAAACATCAGGTTTCAAGATCATTTTATGTCGTTCAGTCATAGGGGTAGCTTTAATTAATATCCTATATCAAGGTACCAAATGCCCCTTCATTGGAAATTCTCTAGTCCAAAGTCCCAGTAATTGTCACTGAGAGGTGCTCATAGACTTTTACCTTAAGCTCCAGTTTATATTCCACATAGAGCTAACAAACAGAGGATTTGTTCACTCCAGCACTCCAGCTTCTACTCTACGTTCTGTGTGGCTCTGACAATCTTGTTTGTTCCCATTTAGCATGTTCAAATACTACTGCTTAAAGGGCAGATTGACATACCCTCTGTTTTATAGCACTAGGTAGGGGAAACATTCCCTATTTGGGTACAATGTCCATCCCAATAACACAATCAGGTAAGATGCAACCACTTTACATTGTGTTCAAGCATATGAACTTTCCTATAAACCTTTATCTTAATTCTATCAACACTTAACTTTCCTGTCTGTAGCCTCCATTAGGACTAGACCAGACTGGGCAATATAAGGAGATACCATCTCTACAAAAAAATTAAAAATTTAGCTGATTAGGCCTGGCACAGTGTAATCCCAGCTGTAATCCCAGCACTTTGGGATGCTGAGGCGGGAGGATCACCTGAGGTCAGGAGTTTGAGGCCAGCCTGGCCAACATGGTGAAACACCGTCTCTACTTAAAAAAAAAAAAGAAAAAAAAATACCAAAATTAGCTGGGCAAATCCCAGATGCTTCGGAGACTAAGGCAGGAGAGTCACTTGAACCTAGGAAGCAGAGGCTGCAGTGAGCAGGGATTACACTCTAGCCTGAGTGACAGAGTGATACTCTGTCTCAAAAAAAAAAATAGCTGATTCTGCCACTGTACTCCAGCCTGGGTGACACAGTGAGACTATGTCTCAAAAAAAAAGTTTCTGATAACCTACAGGACACATTTGGCAGTTTAATAGTCAATAGGCTCTTAATTAATTAATTAATTAATTTAGATAGGGTCTAGCTTAATCCCCCAGGCTGTAGTGCAGTGGTATGATATTGACTCACTGCAACTTCTGCCTCCCAGGTTCAAGTGATTCTTGTGCCTCAGCCTCCCAAGTAGCTTAGAATACAGGCATACACCACCACGCCTGGCTAATTTTTGTATTTTTAGTAGAAACAGGCTTTCGCCATATTGGCCAGGCTGGTCTTGAACTCCTGACCTTGGGTGATCCACCCACCTCAGCCTCCCAAAGTGCTGGGATTATGGGCTTGAGCCACTGTGCCCAACCTGTCAACAGGCTTTTAAGTTCACTCTTCTTGAGCAGGTATTGTAATTCATGGCAACATCATCTCCCTGAGCAAAGAATCTTATTGTGAGTTCCTCAGATTGTTGACTTACTGGTTAATGTATGATCTACTGACACTGAGTGAAAAGGATGCTGATTTATTTCTGAATCATGAAGTTTTACTCATTGTCTGGCATGTGGACATTTTAGCTTATACGTTGCAATCTGTAGTCAATGATGGTGGGCTCTAATGAAAAAAGACAACTCTGGTATGAGGAGTCCACCTCCCTTCATCTAAACTCTCCTATAGAAGCCTTCCAACTTCTGACAGACCCTGGAAAACTCCCAACTTTGTTGATGTGTCTTCCTGGGTCGATCTTCACATTTGTCTTTCAATAAACCTTTATCAAATTATTTATGTCTCAACAGCCTTAATTTTGGCTGACATTTTTGGTGTAGCTGGCAGGAATTCAGAGTGATTCCCCGGGACCACCCAGCGTGGCTTCTGACCCTCTGCAGGTACTGGCAACATTCCTCGATGCCCCTGCTGGGTACTACAGAGGAGTTCCTTCAGAATTAATAAACCTCCCATCTTGGTCAAAGTTCTGGATCTTGAAGCTGCTATCCTTCTTGGCTAGGAGGCACAAAGACTCTTTCAGACTGAGAGTTATTGCTATGAATTCAAGGTAAGGTTGAAATTCTAGGACAGGGCAAAACAGGAGATCTGCTAATTGTTGTCCTGGAAGTTGGGGGAGAGACATTTTCTTTTCTCCTTTTTGATTGCATGAGGGCATGCTTGCTCCAGAGTTGAGACACTCACCATCTCCAGCCCAATGGGAATACTGGGCTGGGTGCGGTGGCTCATGCCTATAATCCCAACAGTTTGGGAGGCTGAGGTGGGTGGATCGCCTAAGGTCAAGAGTTTAAGACCAGCCTGGCCAACATAGTGAAACTTTGTCTCTACTAAAAATACAAAAATTAGCCGGGCGTGGCGGCACACGCCTGTAATTCCATCTCTTTGGAAGGCTGAAGCAGGAGGAGCACTTGAACCCAGGAGGCGGAGGTTGCAGTGAGCCAAGATCGAGCCACTGCACTCCGGCCTGGGTCACAGAGCAAGACTCTATCTCAAAAAAAAAAAAAAAAAAAAGGGAAACAGAAATTAGCAGAGGGAGGTGTAAGACATACCACCCAAAATATGTAGCAGTCTTATAGGAGAATTCTCACACAACTTTTTGCTTAGTTGGCAGGCTTTCTAAAGACTGATCATCTCTTGCCAGTGAGCATCCTGCCACTTCTTCAGAAGTGATTTGGGAATCTAAGGCAGCTAAGAGAAATCTTTTCAGCCTGACGGGTGAAATATCCAGGAAGAAAGATTCTATGTTGATACACAACATAGTTTGTCTTGCTCAAAACAACCAAGATAGGAAATAGGTCTTCTTTCTTTTTTTGAGACGGAGTCTTGCACTGTCACTAGGTGGAGTGCAGTGGCATCATCTCTGCTCACTGCAACTTCTGCCACCCAGGTTCAAGTGATCCTCCTGCTTCAGCCTCCCAAGTAGCTGGGATTACAAGCGTGCACCACCACACCCAGCTAATTTTTGTAGAGACAGTGTTTCACCATTTTGGCCAAGATGGTCTCAATCTTGTGACCTTGTGATCCGCCTGCCATGGCCTCCCAAAGTGCTGGGATTACAGGCGTGAGCCACTGCTACCGGCCAGAAACGGGTCTTCTAAGACTAAGGGTGCACCATCTCTGTCAACACCAGCTGGTTTTATGTATAATACTTATGGTCCTTCTACTTCCAAGTACTTAGACAAATGAACCTACTCATCCAGGATGGTCGTAAGCAGCAGTGGCCAAAATGGGGATTTAAAAAAAATTGTTTTACCCATAAAATTTAAATTCAGTTTTATTATTCCTCATGCAATGGAGGGTAAATTAATCTCTACTTCATATGTTATCAAAATACTACCTTCATCCTTTGATCACATGGAGTGTTTCATACACTCCACCCCAGTACATCCACAACTAGGAGCAGAATACTTCATTACCGGAAACCATGTAAATAAGAGTTCTGTTCAAAATCTCAGCAAAAGCTGGTCAATTCTTCTCAATAGAAATTCACTATAAATTCAAACAGACTAATCCGAAGAGCTTAGTCTGTTATACTCATTTCATTATGATATACAGTATCATGTTTTATAATGAACATGGGTTGATAAATTATTGGTGCATTAAATGGCAATGTTCCATTAAGGAGGCTGTTCTGCTTTACATATCTGAAAATTACTTAGAAAATGTCTGCATTTCCTAATTCAGAAACTACAGTTTTTCCAAAGACAAAGGTATTTAAATAGTTCAGTGCTTAGTGTTCTTAACACAACAACGAGACTTAGTTCAGAAGGTATTCTCTCAACTCTTAATCTAAGTAAGAATAGGCATGTGTTAGGCCATTCTTGCATTGCTATAAAGAACAACCATGTGTCTCAGTTGTTTGTAAAGGAAAGAGGTTTAATTGGCTCACAGTTTTGCAGTGCACAAGCACGGCTCTGGCAACTGCGTGGCTTCTGGGGAGGCCTCAAGGAGCTTTCATTTATGGTGGATGGTAAAGACAGAGCATGGCCAGAGCAGGAGTAAGTAGGGCGGAGTAGGCGCCACATACTTTTAAACAACCAGATCTTGTGTGAGCTCAGAGTGAGATCTCTCTTATCACTAAGGGGATGGCGTCAAGCCGTTCACGAGGGATATCTGCCCCAATGATTCACATTGGAGACTACATTTCAAAGTAAGATTTGGAGGGAAAACATATTCAAACCATATTGAGGGGATTTAAAAAATAAGGCTTTAAGAAGGCTTGTCATTTTAGAGCTGGTTTTTAACAGAATGCAAGTCCCAACTTTTGCCTGTAGAACAAACAAAATCTTAAAATGACTGATTGGTTCAAAATGGTTTTATGGAAAAAATCTGTAACTAAAACTTGGCATTGAATGAGAAGTCTCTACCATTTTTTTAAGCAAAATGTACAATAGTTCCAATGGGCAGCACTAAGAATGAGAGGCTCAGACATTTACAACAGCAGGTATTTTCTCTTTCTCTTCTTCACAGGAGGTGGGCAGAGAACTGCTAGGTTAGCTTCATTAAACAGTTTTGAAGCCTCGCTGTGTGAGAGCCAAGCACTTAGGTATTTTACAGCACCAATCTCCTTATCCCTAGTTAAAACCTGCAGATAGGTGACGGGAGTCAACTTCTTCTCCTTCAGTTTCTCAATTGCATCTTTAACAACACTAAGATCAAGTTTACTTCCTCCAAGGATAATGGGAGTGTTGGGAAATGGTGCTGCATTTCAGGATGCCACTCTGCACAGACATTTTCAAATGATGCAGGACTCACGAGGGAGAAGTATGTTAAAACTGTGTCTGTTTACAGATAGAATGGGGGCATAATCTGTCACAATCTTCTTGTCCAGATGTGTCCCATAAGCCCAGATTCACTGGTTTTCCATCTACCTGAACATTGGCAGCAGAATAATTGTCAAAGACAATAGCGATAATGCATTGGGAAATGCATTGGGTGTAAAACTTATCAGTAGACAAGCTTTACTTACAGCTCCATCTCCAACTACCACACACTTGATGGTTTGCACCTGGGTCACTCGCTGGGCCCTGGCAGTGGTGGCCAGGCACTAAGGCAAGAAGCAGTGGGATAGAAGCATGGTAGGCCAGGTGCATGGCTACAGGTGGCAGGGGATGGGATGTCAAGGTCATTGTCCATGCCACCTCACCCTTAACCCAAAATGGGAATCTTTTGAAAATGCCTAAAATAATTAATTTGCATGCACAGTTGGAAAAAGCTGGGTTTAGACAGACTGAGTGGGAGACTTACTACCACTAGCACTTAGAAGCTTTTATTTAGGTGATTGCAAAAGCAATTGCAGTTTTTGCATTGTTGGAACTTGCCGTTTGATATTGGATCCATTCTTACATAAATATGGCTACGTTATACATCATTTTAGTGAGTATTTTTAACTTTATGGTTTTGTGTTAATGACTTATTACTTGCTGTTTATTTTATGTTTATCTTAGGCTATGGAAATGATGTTAGACAAAAAGCAAATTCAAGAGATATTGTTATTCGAGTTCAACATGGGTGGTAAAGCAGCAGAGACAACTCACAATATCAATAATGCATTTGGCCTAGGAACTACTAATGAACATACAGTGCAGTGATGGTTCAAGAAGTCTTGCAAGGGAGACAAGAGCCTTAAAGATGGAGTGTAGTGGCCAGCCATCAGAAGTTGACAATGATCAGTTGATAGCAATCATCAAAGCTGACTCTCTTACAACTATACAAGATGTTGCGAAAGAACTCAATGTTGACCATTCTATGGTTATTTGGCATTTGAAGCAAATTGGAAAGGTGAAAAAACTTGACAAGTGGGTGCCTCATGAGCTGAGCAAAAGTTTTAAAAAATCATTGTTTTGAAGTGTCGCCTTCTCTTATTCTATGCAACAACAATGAACCATTTCTTGATTGGATTTGTGCAACCAAAAGTGAATTTAATTTTTTTTGCTGAGGTGAAGTCTCCCTCTGTCACCCAGGCTGGAGTGACCATGTTGGCCAGGCTGGTCTTGAACTCCTGACCTCAGGTGATCCACCTGCCTTGGCCTCTCAAAGTGCTAGGATTACAGGCGTGAGCCACCTCGCCTGGCCAAAAAATGGATTTTATATGACAACTGGTGACAGTAAGCTCAGTGGTTGGCCCGAGAAGAAGCTCCAAGGCCCAAAGTCAAACTTGCACCAAAAAAGGTTATGGTCACTGGTGATCTGCTGCCTGTCTGACCCACTACAGCTTTCTGAATTCCTGCAAAACAATAGTACATCTGAGAAGTATGCTCAGCAAATCGATGAGATGCACTGAAAACTGCAACGCCTGCAGCTGACATTGGTCACAGAAAGGGCCCAATTCTTCTCCATGACAACGCCTGACCATACATTGAACAACCAATGCTTCAAAAGTTGAACAAATTAGGCTACAAAGTTTTGCCTCATCTGCCATATTCGCGTGACCTCTCACCAACTGACTATCCACTTCAAGTATCTCAACAGCTTTTTGAAGGGAAAACGCTTCCACAACTAACAGGATGCAGAAAATGCTTTCCAAGAGTTTGTTGAATCCTGAAACATGGATTTTTACGCTACAGGAAGAAATAAACTTATTTTTCATTGCCAAAAATGTGTTGATTGTAATGGTTCATATTTTGAGTAATAAAGATATATTTGAGCCTAGTTATCATGATTTAAAATTCACCCTCCAAAACCACAATTACATTTGCACCACCCTATAAAAGAAATTTTGAAAGAAAAGTTGTCTCTATTTAACAGGTAAATAAAAGGATACCAGAAACCTTTTCTTTTCCTTTTTTTTTTTGAGATAGGGTCTTGCTCTGTTGCCCAGGCTGGAGTGCAGTGTCATGATTATGGCTCACCGTCACCTTGCCCTCCCAGGCTCAAGTGATGCTCCCACCTCAGCCTCCTGAGTAGCTTGGACTATAGGCACACGCCACCATACCTGACTAATTTTGATATTTTTAGTAGAGATGGGGGTTTGCCATGTTGTCCAGGGAGGTCTTGAGCTCCCAGGCTCAAGTGATCCACCCGCCACAGCCTCCCAAAGTGCTGGGATTACAGGTATGAGCTGCTGCACCTGTGACCTGAAACTATTTCTAAATTGAAAAAGATTAAGCAAATTTCTCCCTTTCACCTCCAACAGCTCCTCCTTATCCTCCTGGCTCCTTCCCCACCCCACGCCCTTATTTGAACTCATTCTTTTCTGCTTGTTCCTTTAGCTCTCCTATATCTCTTAGGTAGAGATTTTTGGAATTTCACAATGCATACATTTCTTTCTCTTAAAAGAGGGAATGGTATTTAAATTTCGAACAGTAGAAGCAAACAGAACAGGAATAAAACTACTGAGATTGTTAAAATACAGATACAACACATTTTTCCTAAACTGGGACTAATGAATGCCACTTACCGATTTACTGCAAGCATTCCTGGACCTTTTGTGATCTTAGTCCAATGATGGTTAAATATATTCAGCCACCCCTATTAAAATGGAACACTTAATTGAAAAATTAGAAATCTAAAAGAAAAAGAACTATCTAACTGTTTATAAAGTTAGGCTCTTAGATCAAACAGATTGAAATCTTGAGCTTGGAGTGGTAATATAAGGAAATATAAGGAATCTCTGTTCAATACAAAACTTTTACTTTTTCTGCTATGCAGAGACCAAAAAGAAAAAGCTGAAAGAAAAGAGAGAGAAACTGCTCTAATCTTTCCCGCCTACATTTGATAACCAAGCAAACTACACTGGCAAACAAAAGATAGATTCGTTACTAATTCAAGGATAATTCGGGATTTTATTTTCCTTGTTCGATTCACCCAGTCCTAGCCAAAATGTAAACATTAAAAATTTAACCTTAAACTCATTTGAAACTGAAAAAAAGGGTAAAATTTGTTTTTAAAAAATCAAACTGCTGGCCAGGCATGGTGGCTCATGCCTTTCTAGCACTTTGCAAAGCAAAGGCAGGAGGATCATTTGAGGCAGGGAGTTCAAGACAAGGCTGGATAACATAGTGAGACCTCCATCTCAATGAAAATAAAAATAAAAATAAATTAGCCAGGTGTGGTGGCATGCTTCTGCAGCCCTAGCTAGCTGGGAGACTGAGGTGGGAGGATGGCTTGAGCCCAGTAGTTCAAGGCTGCAGTGAGCTATGAATATGCCATAGCACTCCAGCCTGGGTGCCAGAGTGAAACGCTGTCACCAAAACATAAAATCAAACTGCCACAAAAACTTATTTGCCTGAAATTTTGGTCCACAGCCTTCATTAGATTATCTGTAAGGGCAATTAAATTTTAGCCATGTGAACAGATTACAATTTTGTCAGAAATATAATTTGGACACAACGGTCTTTTATTAACCAGAGAGTTTTTAATACTATCTCATGACTAAAATTCTAAAATGAAAGCTGTGAGATCTTTGTGTGTGCCTGTGTGTGTGCGTGTGTGTTTAGACATATTTATATACATGAACCTGTATTATATGTTGTGTCTACATGGTAAAATCTGGCATAGTTGACCAGAAATCTTTTAAGGATAAATGAGTGCTCATATAAAATATATAATAACCCTAATGGCTTTTAGTTTATGTGAAATTAATAAAGCATTAATAAATAAGATGTTTTAAAAGTTATTGGTAAAATAAAAACAGAAATGTCTTCAGAATTGTCAGCACACATTTTGCCTAGGTTTACTGCTTTTGCCAGACAGTTTTAAACCTTTCTCTGCTAGGTATCTGAAGCTGTCATGGTTTAACACAAAGGTTATAAAAGCATAAACTCGGCCTAAAACAGAATGATCTTTGTTTATGTGATTTTGTGATAAGACTAATCTAATGTTGATTTAATGAAAACAGCTGTGTCTTCTGGCTTATCAGCAAAATACTGATATACTTAACTTTAAGGTGCTTATTTAAGTGAACACCCGATAGTCACAGGCTATAAAAATGGTTAAGGAAATAATTTGATACCATGACTAACTTTGTCCAATATCTCAGTTTTCAGAAATAATCCAGGTTATCTGCTAAAATAAAAAAATTAGGTAAATGAAATAAATTTCCATAAATGAACTTTCAATGTATCTTAAAGTTCATTTATGATATCTTAAAGTTAAGTTAAATTAATAGATACTAATTAAATCTGAGTCATTTTCAAATAAGATTTTAAAATCATGTTATAGGAAAACATGTTTCTAAAAATTACAAAATG